TGGCCAAGCTTCTCCTCCAATTTGTGCGTATTGTGCATGTTGATGTTATAACACAAATGAAGGCACCTAAAATTTTACACCGGCTCTGAACGGAAAATGGTTTTTATGAGAAGCTTTTTCATGGTAGAAATACGCTCGGAGGTTTGCCATTGCCTGCCGCAGGTCGAGTGCTGTTAAAATGTTAGAAACAATTTTTTCTAATTTAAGACCATACGATCTATTGTTTCCGTTAATAGACTTGTATTATATATATTAGTTCAGTCATTGGCGCGACCAAGAGCCGGGTGTGGCGGGTGTTTGGTGGTCAAAGATAAAGTACTATTTCATGGTAACCCATAAAAGTCATTGTTGTTGGTTATGACCCAGCATAAACACCCCCATCAATTGTGGAGATCCGGTAGGCAATTGAAAAGCATATCCCTTTCTCAACGAAACAAAATTACACTCTACAAATCTCTCATCATGCCCGGCCAGTGACAAGATCCTTAGACTCGGCACCCATGGGTGGGTAACGAAAGAAAGAGTGCCCACAAACATAATGGAAGAACCAAGTGCAGAAGGACCTGTATGGACTCGGGATATAAAACTGGCACTTGCATAGGAGATAGTTGCCGAAGTTTTTTGGCCTTGGTCCAAACCGATGAACGGTTGTAGGGCTAAATAAGAAGAAATATGTGCTAACACTAGTTCAGAGGATATTTATAACCATTTCTAAGGCTTTTCGTACGAACGAAGTAAGGTAGAGTAGCTTGAAGGACCTTGGAGTGAGTGGGTCCTTCTTTCCGACCTTCGCAATGAAAATTGCCTTCGCTCTTCTCCACGCATTTAGTATACAAACCAATGCTATGCTACTTCTATGCATTTTCTTTTAATTGATTAGGTTGTCCAATTTAGCGGAATTTCTGTAATTGAATGAACTGTTCAATTAAACGAGTATCGGTTAATTGGTTCTCCGGTTAATTGAATCAAAAATTGTGCAATTTTTGAAGTACAAATTTAGCGGCGGGGAATACTGTATAACACTTTTTGATGTGTGTACATCTTTGGTTTCGGTAGGGGTAAAATTTGCGAAGCTGTAACGCGTAACCCAGCAGAAAATTTCGCAGGGCTTGCATGTGTATTGCAGCAAAAAATTTGCTGCTTATGCAGAATAAGAGGAAATGCAGTACAAACGATTACTACTTCCGGTTATGCAGACTCCTCGGGTACATACATACGTATACATACATATGTATAGCACGAGTGTTGAGACAAGCAAGTTTATCACAAGCGCCGCTGCCTCCTGTTACTTTAGCAGTATTTTCACTCGGTTGACGCTGTTACTTCCATCGTCGCTATGACCAGCGTTGCCGAATCAATGATTTCGTAGTCATTTTTACGTTATTTTACCCCAATGACGCTTTGACGATTTTTCTCCCAAAATGATGATTTTTTATTTCAGAGTGTCAGAGTTAAAAATTCGCTTTTAACGGGGTATATCGATCTTAACAAGATTGATCAGTCCTTTGTCGGGAAAACGCGAGCATGTAGAATCGACAGTCTTGGGAATAAGAATACCAGACCACTTTATAAATATAGTCTATTATAGACAGGCCATTCACCGAGAATCAATCAACGCCTTGTTCAACTTTCACCCCTTGAATAGCATGAGTTGCTAGCGATACTTTGGCGCAACTCCATTCTGGATATTGTAGCAGCTTAAACTGTTCAGCCCCTCTAAAAAAACAGTGATCCGACCATGCTAACGACCTCTTAACATGCCCACTCACACCATTTCACTCAAAATCCCATTCCCAACTGCCCAAACTGACCTTTTCCTCAGCCTGCCTGCTGTTAGATGAGAATGAAGACAACACAGTTAAATTCACTGATTTAGGTAGAGTTTTGTAAGCTGCTACAAAAAAAAAAAACTGAAAGATTTTCGTTCAGTTATTCATTTATTTTTTAAATAGTTTGTGCAGTGGACAATTTTCCAGCATTCAGATATAAAATAAATAAAAATTTTCTATCTCAAAGTTCCAATGTTCATTAAATAAAATATTTATGGCCTTAGTCATAAAAAAATTAAATAGAATTAAAGAGTTCTATAAAGTGACATTTTAATATCAATTTTTGATTTATAAAGGAGTTAAAAGTCTTCTTTATGAAATTGAGTGTTAGAATTTTTAGACACTTTAAAAAAACGAGGTGACAACCTATTCGATTTTAAAAATCCAGTTTACTTAGTATTCGAAAAATCAAGAACTCAAAAAAAAAAAAATTGTTGAAAGTTAAAAAAAACCGGTGGAAACCGGTTTGCAAAAACCGAGTCAATCTCCCTAGTACCTACCCAGTTTTGGCTACAAAGCAATTTTTGCATTTTAACGCCGCTGTTTGGTGCTTTATTTGCAGTGATGAAAGCAAACTTGCGCGCTCGGCTAAGGTGTCTACCTATGTAAGTACAAGTAAATACTCGAAAGTAAACAACAAGGTGACATTCAAGTTCTTGTATATATTTTTTCAGTAAAATTATGTTTTAGTGTTACAAAGTAAGTATTTAACACAATGGAGCATATATGCATATTTACAAAATAACCTGCTTCAGATCGTAAACTATACATATGTATTTTTTTTTTAATTTATTTTCATTCGAGCGTACAATGATGATTTAAAATGCTAATTTTTGTCATAACTGTAAATGCTTATACAATACAAATATTCAGTGCAACATCGATAAATATCTTTCAGCTTCAACAATTAACGAATTAGTTAGTAGGTACTTTGTTGTTTTTTTGTTTTTGTGGAAACTGATTTACTTAGATGCATTTTGATAACAATTTTTGTAGTCTAGTTTTGAGTAGTATATACAGAATTATATAAACATTTAGACTACATATTAATAATACTTTTTGCTATGTTTAAATGTATACATACTTGTATTAGACACACTAAAAGTAAAACCAATCACATGTTTCTTGTTTTTACATATATACATAAATACATATGTAGTTTGTGGAGAGTTTTTTGTACAGTTATAGCCCTTTACCGGTAGTGATATCAAATACGAACACGCTAGTGCTATCGATAACCATAACGATTTCGATAATAATATTCATAAAAATTTAGGCAAAAGATTCTAAATATATTAGAAAATTCTAGAAGGAAAGAATATACATACTTATGTATTTAATTATTAATGTACATAAGTGAGTAAGGCTTTTGCATACACTCTTTCAGAGCAGAAAATTTGTCTAAAATTCACATGGTTTCATGCGCAGAAGTCCACGTAAATGGGGAAAGCTTTTGACTGCCATTCACCTGGGAGTGGCTAGAAGTGTTTCTTGTGCGTACGGTTCAAATCGCAGCTTACGACGTCCGGATATTTACATATATCCACGTATCCTCTGGGTAGCGACCAAATACCCGTTTGGGAGCGAGCTAAAGTGAGAAGTTCGTAAAACCTCGCGTGCGCTGTGTTTGGGTCTCGCCAAGTTAAAACCCCGCCCAATGAAAAATTTAAACATGCCTAGGATGAGAATCGTACCACAATGTGCGAGCACCAATATCGCCAGGCATACACTGCATCCGATAGGACGAACGATTTCAGTCGGACAATTTGACCGTCCGAACAGATGCGCACACTCACCGACGTTTTCGTTTCTACCGAAATATTTTACCTTTTCATTGCCTTCTGAGTACAAACACTAAGAACCGGGCAATGAAAAGGCGATTTTTTTTTTTGCAAACGCCATAAGAAACGAGTCAGCTAAATATATTTCTATAAAGCCCCTTTGTTCTCTATATCGTGGGTTACAGTGTTTGCTTAGCGTAACAAAAATGAGTTAAGTGTTGTTAACAGACTTAAAAAAAAAGGATGGTTATATGATATACATGTTTCGATGTTAAGGTACGCATAAAAAAGTTTTGAAACCTCGGGTTTTCTGCATTATATGTACACACATACACTTATTTTTCATAAATTCTGTAAAACAATATTTTCTCATCCATTGATCATGGCATACGATACTGTCATATTACATCTTTATATAATTACACAAATCTATTCATTTCCTATACTTTTTATCCATTGGATTGGTTTAAAAGAATTTTTGAAAAGCATTAAAATTTAATACTATGCACTAAATATTTGGAACTTTAAATCCTTATCACTTATTCAAACGTAATGTAGATTAATTTATTTTATTTACATGTTTTAGCTTAAATTATTTATGAGACAATAACATTTTCAAATATACGTATAAGAAGATTTATATATAACAGTTATTTTTTACTTTAACTGATTTTAGCTGCATTATTATCATATGCATATCATGATTTTTAGAAACGGCCCACAGTCGGCTGAATCGGAAAAGTAGGCTATGCTTATGCCCGAGTTTAAGCTTAAATTAAAAAAAAAAAAAACGTATGACTTGAAATGGGCGTGGGAACCGCTGTACTCGCGGTACTAGTTTCGAAATGGCCGAGATGGGCGGTATCGGGAATTTGTGGGTTTAAGCAATATACCCCAGCAGAGCTATGATAATACAAAATGCTAGCCGCCAGTAAACCACACCCAACCACAATGAGAACAAACCATGCAAACATCCCTAACATGGAATGAGCTGATGATTAAATTAAAACGTGAATGACATTCTTCCTAAACACTTTACTATCTATGCAGCTAATTTACAGCCATGTCTTATCATCTGTTGTCGCCGTTACAAAAATGCCACGTGGCGTATTTGTCGACAGAAGTGTCGTTGTTGCGGTTTTTGTAGTCGTCGTCAAGCCAACTGTTGTGCTGCCATTTCCCATTGGAACTTTTGCACGGCCATTGTTATTGTTGCCGTTGCCGTTTACGTTGCCTATGTTGATATCAAATGTTTTTGTACTACCGTTAACATTTTTGTATTCCAAGCTTTCCGTTACGCTTCCGCCATAGCCAATGCCACGTTCTTCAGCTAACTTATCGCCGCCACCACCACCACCGCCACCACCGCTTCTACTGCTGTTGTAGAGGCTGCAAGAGCGATCGAAATGTCAGGATATGGCACGCACATTTGTTGTATCTACGTTAACACCAACAACTGTGGACAGCACCGGTGGTGTGTCCGGATCTGTGTTAGCTTTTTCCGCTGTCGGTGACCACATTTGACGTGGAGCAATGGCGACTTCTTCGGTGTTACGAGTACCATTTCGCATGGGCACCTTCATGTGGTCCCTTCTCATGACGAGCCCGTAGTGCCCCATGCCCGTCGCACCGCTCAACGAAGTCAACGTTGTGAGCTCGTGACTGCTGCTACAGTCACTAAAACGCTGATGATAGGCGCTGGTGTTGTTCGTGCCAATTGGCGCAGAGTGTCGCATTGGATCTCGATGGTATGCTGTGGCGGAATTGCGCATAATGCCTGGAAAAGACAATTGATTTGTGTGTAGCAAGTAAAAGAAAATGATAACGTTAAAAATTAAAGCAAATTTACTGATATATGTATAGGTTCACTAAAGGGTGATGCTTTTTTTTTTTAGAAAATTGGTATAACGGGCCTTGGCAAACTAAGTCAAGAAGCGACATTCAATTGAACAACGCGTTTTTAGAAAATGGTCTTTCTACAAGAACTGCATTTCGCGCATTGCTTTATTTTTTCGGTCAACATACCCGGCCATCAGAATCAGCAATCAGCCGTTTGCTGGCAACAATACCAGTGCGTCTTCCCACAGGTCGTTCGGCCGAAAATATTGCAGCCGTGGAACAATGTGTGGACCAGGCCTGACAACCCCGATTTGTCATCGTGCACAACAATTGAACTTTTCCTATGTTTAGGGAGGCACATTTTCACCTAAACGGAGATGTTAAAACCACGACAGAAAAAAAAATATTATTTCTACAAATTTTGTTGTTTGCGCATTTGAGGGAAGTCCGACTAAATTTCTTAGAAAGTTCTTATTGCAAACTTCAATAAAGAAAACATTTACATTCGTATACAAAAACGTACAAAAAAACGTAAGTAAATATATGTATATGTGCATATGTCTACACAAATCTGCGCAAAAGTGGAAATAGTTCAACAAAAGTGCCAAGAATATTAATTTGCTACTTTCGAAATTAATCCAACGAACTCTAGGGTTCTTAAATTGAAATACAAAAGAAAAAAACTTGAAGTGCCATCAGCCACTCAGATATATGTATGTATATATGTGTATTTACTACCCTGCAGGGAAACCGCGGANAAAAAAAAACGTAAGTAAATATATGTATATGTGCATATGTCTACACAAATCTGCGCAAAAGTGGAAATAGTTCAACAAAAGTGCGAAGAATATTAATTTGCTACCTTCGAAATTAATTCAACGAACTCTAGGGTTCTTAAATTGAAATACAAANGAAAAAAAATATTATTTCTACAAATTTTGTTGTTTGCGCATTTGAGGGAAGTCCGACTAAATTTCTTAGAAAGTTCTTATTGCAAACTTCAATAAAGAAAACATTTACATTCGTATACAAAAACGTACAAAAAAACGTAAGTAAATATATGTATATGTGCATATGTCTACACAAATCTGCGCAAAAGTGGAAATAGTTCAACAAAAGTGCCAAGAATATTAATTTGCTACTTTCGAAATTAATCCAACGAACTCTAGGGTTCTTAAATTGAAATACAAAAGAAAAAAACTTGAAGTGCCATCAGCCACTCAGATATATGTATGTATATATGTGTATTTACTACCCTGCAGGGAAACCGCGGACTAGTGAATCAAATTTCTAGTTCCGTGCTAGGTCTTTATCGCCAAAAAGGAACTAGGCCGATAAGAACTAGATCCCCACCAGTCCAAAATCGGCGAAAAGTGGTACTTTTAAGAAACTAATTTTTTCCAGTTTTTTTTTTCACTACAAATCTATATCTAAAGTGACGAATTTAGAAATGGTTCGGAACTATAGAAAAAGGGATGCAGAACGAACTAGATCCTATTTGTTGAATTTAGAACTATTTCGGAACTATCGAATAAGGGATGCAGCGGGGGGCTTGTTTACTTTACATAGATATGTGTTCGGCGGCTTTTTCGTTCAAATACGCTTCTATTCTGTGCTTCGCAGATGCTATTTCATAGTTTGGTAATACAAAACAAAGCTTTGTGTTAACATATTAACATCTTGGGGCCGTCTGGAATCTAACCAATAACAGCGAGCACCTCTGCAAAGTCAGCTACAGCAAGGTATGTAAACGTACATTTCTTACAATCATTCAAACAAATTTAATTTCAAATTGAAAAAAAGGTTTCTTTGAAAATAGAACCGGAAGAACCGAAAAGATTGAAAAATCATGATACTTTTTTCTTTCGTCTTTCAATTTTAGAACTAGTTCGGAACTATCGAAAAAGGGATGCAGCGGGGGGCAATTGACACTTCCTAGGACATCGCCATGTTAAATTCGCCAGTTGCTTGCATGCAAAAGAGATTTATCGCGAACCAGTACTGGGTCTAAATGTACTGGAAGCGCCCCAGTTCAGAACTAGAGGTTCTCCCCACAGGGTATTTACATGAAATGGCAGTGACTCCACACACTTTCAATGTTTGTGACATAAATCCGACTGTCGCAGAGATGTTGTTTGCACTTAGCGGCAGATATAAACACATAACTCGGAGCAAGCATGCTGCACTGCAGTGACACTTGCACACATTTCTTACATGTCTGTTTGCTTTATTAATGTAGAATCACAAGTTATTCATGCAACAAAACTTTGTCTATGTCCTAAATATTGTAAAGGAAAAGTCGTCTGAAGCTGGTTTGATGAGAAATAAAGAAAAGTTAGCAGCCATTCGACAGAAAAAAGTTAATGTGTGATTAACATGGATTGCAGATGCTCGTAGATTTCTGTTTTAGTGCTTCATAAGTTAAATTAAAGACATGCAATTAAAAAAAAAAATGAAACATTTGTACTTTGTGTTTTTCCATACCCGAACGCAAGCATATACGCTTACAGAAATGGGTAACTTAGGCCCTAAAAAACTAATTAGCAAAAAGCAAAAGGAAACCATTCCAGCAAATAAATTTTCCGGGAAAATTTGTCTTTTCATATTCTTTAATGTAATCACGTATTACTAGCGTGAATTTTTGAATGTCTTTCCCACTTACGTTGTCTTTAGGCTATTTTTGACTAAAACTATCGTTTTTTATACCCGAGCGCACTTGTGCTCAAGGGTATTATAACTTTGTTCACATAACGGTTGTTTGTAACAGGCAAAACGAATCGAGATAGATATAGACAAATGTATACATAAATGATCAGAATGAAAAGAGAAATCGATTAAGCGGTGACTGTCTGTCCGTCCGTCCGTCCGTC